TGTGTCTCCATTTTGGTTTTGCAAATAAGATAATTTATACCATTTTTATAGATTCCACATGTATGCATTAATATATATTTATCTCTGACCTACCTCACAGTCTCTAGGTCTATCCACATCTCTACAAATGACCCAATTTCATTCCTTTTTATGACTAATATTCCATTGTATGTATGTACTACATCTTATTCATTCATTCTTCTGTTGATAGACATTTAGGTTGATTCTATGTCATGGCTACTGTAAATGGTGCTGCAGTATTGTAAATAGTGCCCCTGCTTCATGACTTCTAACATCCCACTGGCCCAAGCAAGTCACATGGTAGATTCAGACTCAGTGGAGGTTACATGTCAAAGTATATGGGTACAGGCAGGAATGAAGAACTGGGGCTATTAAGAAATGGACATGCTTTACTAATTGAATCTAATAAAGTATATAACCTTCTGATTCTCTAATTGGACCTGAATCCTAAAAGACAGACTACCTTAAACACAAACACACACACACACTTTGTTCATTTTCTGCTTATCTTGTACTTTTTGTTAATATGATTCATTAGCTAAAATATTCATTTCTGTAGTCTGAGGAAAAGAATAGCAGACTTTTAAATAGAAATATCACATCGTATGGACTGTGTGCTCAGGATACAAGACAAATATCTACATGTTTATCAAGTAAAATTTGTGTGTATGGACATTTTATTTACAAACATACCTTGCAAGAAAAGCACATTTAAAAAAATAAAAATGCGCTGATCATTCTACAAACATTCCAGTTGCCTGTTATAATGAAATTGTGCTAAGTGTCACTCTTAAAGCAATGGAGATGGTATTTGCATATCAGTTTAATTGCTTTGGATTAAACATTGAAAGATGAGAGCCAAGAGAGCTTATTAAGCTGAAATGAGGGCAAGTGATAAAAAAAAAGTGATATTATGTCAACACTACGTCTGGATGTCTTTTGCTATTTCCAATTTAAAACCTAATTTGCAGTGTTTCTTAAAATTATCACAGAATGCCATAGAGTCTTGAAATATAATATCAAAAATTATAAAGTTAATGCATGAATTGTGCTTGATCAATACAATTTGAAAGCCAAGCTTGAGTTTTCTCTAGTTTATTTATATTTATTTGTTCTTAATGTACTAGACTGTAAGCTTTGTAAAGACATTGTCTCATTTATGGCTCTCTTTAGGGCTTTTGGTGTATCTGGTTATAGGTGCTCAGTAAATATTTGTAAATGAATGAATGCGAAGTCTGACAACCCTATCATAGTTAGAGCTGTGAAGCATTTTAGGTGTGGGGTTGGGCACTGCTGGTTTCGACTGGTGCCTGCAGCTGTACCCACAGGCTCCCTTTCACTCTGAAACAGTGTGTGTTCTCTGGCCAGCTCCCTCTTTGTATAAGGGAACCATCAGTCATTAAAGTCGTCATCCATCTGCACTGAAGCAGGCTATGTGGAGAGGGGCATGTGTTAGACAACTTAATTTGCAATTTAGAGGGTCTCCCGTAGGGATGTTTGGTTTGGGACTTAGATTAGCAACTACCATTTGTTGGCTGTGTCCACAGCATCAGAAAATGATGTCACACCATTTGATAAATCAACAATAAGGCCAATCTCATTCATTTGCATTGGAGAATTAGTACCAGTTCCAGGTGGCTCCTGTTGCTCATCAGAGTGATTTCACATTTGCCAGATAGCCTACATTGTTAGATCACCTAAAACATATCCTCTAAATTTGTGAGAATAACTCCTCCATTTTAATCACTCTGGATAATTTACTTATGGAATGTCTAAGGGTTAGTGTTAGTTATTCAGTTGTGTCCGACTCTGCGACCCCGTGGACTGTAGCCTACCAGACTCCTCTGTCCATGAGATTCTCCAGGCAAGAATACTGGAGTGGGTTGTCATTCTCTTCTCCAGGGGACGTTCCCAACCCAGGGACTGAACCCAGGTTTCCTGCATTGCAGGCAGATTCTTTACCATCTGAGCCACCGGGAAGCCCCGAGTTTCCCCTAAAGCCCCTGAAAATGAAGCATTTTATATGCCACAACTGTTTTATTGTTGTTGTTTTGACTTTTTATTCATGGAAAAAAAAACCCACACAAAACATAACATTTGCCATCTTAATCATTTTTAAGAAAACAGTTCAGCAATATTAGGTATATTCACACAATTTCTATAACATTTTCATCTTGCAAAACTGAAACTCTACTCACTAAACCACTCCCCATTTTTCCCACCACATCTAAGTTCTATCATCCCAAACATAGTACTCTAATCTAATAAGACTCCATCAGACTGTTATGCCATGACAAAAACAAGGAAACGAAGACAGGAGGACATTATCTTATTTGCATACGTTGGTATATGCCTGGAATTTTAAACTTCTAATCAATGAGGTGGTTTGAAACAAAAAGGGGTATCTTACTGATTAGTCTTCTTCTTGCTCCTTAGTAGACTTGGAATTTTATAAAAGGAGACTTTTATGTTATAGTGTGTGAGAATGACCTATGACTGAATTGTGAATTCAGGAATTTTTTGGTTCAAAGCGAAGAAAACAAACAAGAGCGACATTTAATTTTCTTATTTCTCATCATTATATTAACCTCTGCTTAAAGTTAAATTATTTTTAAATAGTAATAATACTCATTTAGTATTCTTTTGATGTTTTAAAGACACTTGTAACATTAAACACAGAGTTAGAGAATATAAATATACATATGTTTATAATTATATAAATAGTAAAAATTTAACCATTCAGGTAAAAACACTGCTGCTGCTGCTGCTAATGCTCTATAAATATCATACAATCTATGTTTGAAAAAATGAACATGGCATACTGGAAGCACCAATAGTTAAGTACTGCCGAAGCCACAGATGTGAATGGGGAGTGGTGAGAGATGGGGAAGAGATACAGGACAAATCCAGGTTAAAAAAAAAAAAAGCCTTGAATAGCCAGTAAATGCAGTCTGAATTTGATTCCACAGAATAAGCAGATGGAGGAAGTATATTAAGCAAAACAGTGTGACATGGTCAGAAATGTCACAGATGAAAATATTTTATCATTAATCCATTTGCTAGTGCCAGGACTCATTGAATTTCTCTAGGAATTCTTCAGAGTTAGAGGAGAAGGAGTTTGAGATGAGAGGGTATGCAGATAGATTTTCTATTTTTTAAATTATTTAAAATTACTTGGTGATTAATTCAGTTACTTGGTGAATTATTCTAACACCAAATAGTAAAGACTATAATACCATCAAGAAAAAGATGAATGTCACCATATTTGGACATGTTAAAGGAAAGATGGTTACCAGTCATCTAAGGGAATACCATTACAATATCATTACAATCAATTTAAGTCTTTTAATAATTTAACTAAATAAAATATTACAATAAAATTAAGTCTTTCAACAAAAGTAACTATTTACAAAATATTTTTTCTGATATTTTCAAATATTCCATTCTTTTCCAGCAAACTTCAATTCCAGAAAATCAGGAAGATGACATTTTTGAGTGATACAAATCTTTACATTCACATACATTTTAAAAGTATTTTCCATATGAATGCATTTACTCAAGTTTTTTGGAGGGAGGGCATTTGAACTAGTCATTTAATTTCTTACATCTTATCCTAAAATAAATTGTTTCAGAGCTACAGAGATATTTTTTAAAATTAGCTAGCATGTGTATTAAGAGATATCTTCATATTACAATTATTCATTCTTACTCCCGTTGTCATTTCTTTCAACAGCTCATCTAAACTTACCATTTTTTATTCACCCATCCCTTATAAGTCAAGAAACTTTTACCCTTTCTCTCTTGTGATTATTATCTTGTCTGATGGGGACAAAATAATTGAGACAGAATAGAGGAGCAAGACGAATGGCAGATAGCAGGTGCATTTGTATATTATGAAGTGTTTGCAAAATAATAAGCACCACATGAATAATGCATTTGAAGAATATTGTCTGGCAAATGATATTGGGTCATATATCCAAATTGTCCCTCAATTACTGAAGAACGAAGTACAAGTGCCTAATGCATCCAGTTTTATCAGACAGAGAAAGAATTCACCATGTGGTGCATCAACTTAGAGTAAAAAGGCTATGGTTTTTAAGACAAGACTAAAATCTTTGTATCGATCTATATTGACAATTTGAAAATGTAAGCAGTATGTAATAATAAATATGTTTAATTATAGGTAATTTGAAGACCTAGGAATATATAAGGAATAAGGAACATGCAAATAAAAGGAACCCAAAAAATATATGTATGTAAATAAATTTTAAAACCTAATAAATATATAAATATAAGGAATATGTAAATATAAGGAACCTAAGGAATATAAATATATATAAAATGTGGAAACCTAGGGCTATATAATAACATATATATATATACACATGTAATTTGAAAACCTAAGTAATACATATCTAATCCTATATATTTTTGCTTATTTTTAAAAGTCTGGTGTGTGTTTTTTTATTTGAAGAATTAAACTTCCATGCCATATTTGACACTGATATAAAGTTGACTTTTATACAACGTAACAGAACTATCATTTGTACTAATATTATTACCACAGTTTAGTTTCAGTTTAAAAACTTATGCTCATTTCTTTCAAATATTTACTATTGTATCAATTAAAATTTAAAATTAATAGAATTTTAATATTTAATATATATAATATAATATATATAACTTTGACAATAAACTGAATAAGTAGACCTAATGATTTATATTTTTATAGACAAGGAAATGGAGATTCAGAGAAGTCAGGAAATAGGCTAAAAGTTAGTAAATTGCAGAGATGGTATTTTGACATGGTGGTTAGTGCCACAGCCCACTTTTTTAAATTAAATCATTTCCCTGTTCCTTTAAAAAGCCTACCCATGTGAAATACTGAGACATTATACACCAAAAAGGAGTGAACACTCAGAAACCCTTGGATCCAATACTCTTGTGTTGTTCTTAAAAAGATTCAGAAGTAATGCAAGTCAGGATTTTGGAGGGGCTGGTGTGTTCTCCTTTTTCCCTTTAGACTGGCTTGCTGCCTGCTCACCAGGTGGCTGTGGCTGAGCTGCTGGGGCCACTACTGTTGCCACTGGGTGCTGCAAGATTCTGAACTGTACTGGCTGAGGCTGTGGGTGCAGCTGCAAGGGGGAGGCGAGCTGAACTCTGTGCTGAGGGAGGCTTGGCCAGGGGCCGCTCTGGACAGAGCCCGCCTGAGACAACACAACTGCCTGGGGCTGCAGAAAACTCTCCACTTCGTTGAGGTTAATGACCATGGCTTGCTGAGCAGATAAGGCCATTTGACTGACTGAACCTTCTATAGGATCCTGTGGCACTGACTGTGGAGGATGTGAAGTTGTGGGCTGTTGAAGTCGTGTCTGTGGCATCAGCTGGTAGAGCCACTGCTGCGTCGGCTGCTGCAGCTGCTCCTGGGCCTGCTGCTGGGTGTTCAAAATGAGCGAGCCTGGTGGAAGCTGGAGTAGAGTGAAGGGCATGAGACTGGGAGTATTTTTAACAAGTTGAACACCTTGAGAAGAAACTGGTAGTGCGGTGGTCTACACATTTGGTGGCTGAGCTCCTGCAGGCAGGGGGCTGGGCTGGATGCCTGTGGGCTGGGTGTCTGGCTTGATCCCTGTGGGCAGGGTGTCTGGTTTGATCCCTGTGGGAAGGAGGCCAGCTGTGATCCCTGTGGGCTGGCTGTCCGGCTGGATCCCAGTGGGCCGGGTGTCCCGCTGGATCCCTGTGGGCCAGCTGTCCGGCTGGATTCCTGTGGGCCGGCTGTCCGGCTGGATCCCAGTGGGCTGGGTGTCCGGCTGGATCCCAGTGGGCCGGCTGTCCGGCTTGATCCCTGTGGGCAGGGTGTCTGGCTGGATTCCTGTGGGCTGGCTGTCCGGCTGGATCCCAGTGGGCTGGGTGTCCGGCTGGATCCCTGAGGGCTGGTTGTCTGGCTGGATTCCTGTGGGTTGGCTGTCTGGCTGGATCCCAGTGGACTGGGTGTCCGGCTGGATCCCAGTGGGCTGGTTGTCTGGCTGGATCCCTGTGGGCTGGTTGTCTGGCTGAATCCCTGTGGACAGAAGCCCAGGAACAATCCCTGTGGGCAGGGTATCTGGCTGGATTCCTGTGAGCTGGGTGTCTGGCTTGATCCCTGTGGGCAGGGTGTCTGGCTGGATTCCTGTGAGCTGGGTATCTGGCTTGATCCCTGTGAGCAAGGTGTCTGGCTGGATTCCTGTGGGCAGGGTGTCTGGCTGAATCCCCGTGGACAGAAGCCCAGGCACAATCCCTGTGGGCAAGGTGTCTGGCTGGATTCCTGTGGGCAAGGTGTCTGGCTGGATTCCTGTGAGCTGGGTGTCTGGCTGGATTCCTGTGGGCCGGGTGTCCGGCTGAATCCCTGTGGATAGAAGCCCAGGCACAATCCCTGTGGGCAAGGTGTCTGGCTGGATTCCTGTGGGCAGGGTGTCTGGCTGGATCCCTGGGGACAGTACCCTGGGCCTGATCCTTGTGGGCATGGGGCCAGACTTGATCCCTGTTGTTTGGTAGTCAAGCTTCATCCCTGTGGGCAGGGTTCCAGGCTTCATCCCTGTGGGCAGGGGGCCAGGCTTGATCACTATGGGCTGGAGGCCAGGCTTGATTCCTGTTGCTTGATAGTCAAGCTTCATCCCTGTGGGCAGGGGTTCAGGTTTCATCGCTAGGGGTTGGGGGCCAAGCGTGATCCCTGTTGGTTGGTGGTCAAGCTTCATCCCTGTGGGCAGGGTTCCAGGCTTGATCCCTGTGGGCAGGGGGCCAGGCTTCATCCCTCTGGGCAGGGGGCCAGGCTTGACCCCTGTTGGTTGGTGGTCAGGCTTGATCCCTGTGGGCAGGGGGCCAGGCTTCATCCCTATGGGCAGGGGGCCAGGCTTGACCCCTGTTGGTTGGTGGTCAGGCTTGATCCCTGTGGGCAGGGGGCCAGGCTTGATCACTATGGGCAGGAGGCCAGGCTTCATCCCTATGGGCTGGGGGCCAGGCTTGATCACTAAGGGCAGGACGCCAGGCTTGACCCCTGTTGGTTGGTGGTCAGGCTTGATCTCTGTTGGCAGGGGCTCCAGCCTGATCCCTAGGGGCAGGGGTCTAGGCTTGATCCTTCTGGTATAGGGGCCAGGCTTGACCCCTGTTGGTTGGTGGTTAAGCTTCATCCCTGTGGGCAGGGTACCAAGATTGATACCTGTGGACAAGAGTCTGGACTTGATGCCTGTGGGCAGGAGCTCCAGCTTGATTGCTGTGGGCAGGGGCCTGGGCATGAGCCTAATGGGCAGGGAACCCAGATTAATTCCAGTGGGCAGGAGGCTAAGCTTGATCCCTGTAGGCAGGGGGCCAGGCTTGATTCCTGCAGGAACTGTAGTAGAGTCCTGCACTGGCTTAGAGCCACTTCCTAAGGCCTGGCCTCCTCCACCAGGGTGTACCTCTTTGGTGATATTCAGACCAAAGGATGTGGCTGAAGCTTCAGTCCTTTGTGATGAGCCCACAGTGGACAGGGCCATGGCAGGAAGTGAGCTAACTTGACTCACCTCCATAGATGATTTCTGGGAAAGACTTGGTAGCTTAGGAGCAGAAGCAGGAGATGGAAATTTATGAGAGCTGCTTGCCTGCTGTGAAGTGAAACTGTCACCCCAGGAGCTCTCTCCTGGGTTCAAGGGAAGTCTGATGGGTGAAGGAGGATGTTTGGCTCCCTTGCCCAGCACTGAAGACTGAACCGACCCGTTCTTAGGCTGTTCTGGCTCTTTCCCTGGAAAAGGTTGCCTGAAACCAGCTGAGTCATCAGAAGACTGAACTGACCCAATCTTAGGCTGTTCTAGTTCTTTCCCTGGAGAAGGTGGCCTGAGATCAGCCAAGTCACCAGAGCTGTGTGACATCTGCACTGGACATTGGGCACTATTCTGGGATGATTCCTCAGATGGACTGATCATCCTCACATCATCAGTCTCTGGCCTGGACAGGAAACTACTGGGATGGTCATCTGTGAAGGAATGGTGGGGAGACATCTGTCTCTCATAGCTGACTTTTCTTTTTTTTTCACGGGAACTTTCTTTTCCAGAGATAAGAGGATCATTAAGCGGATGCATGAGCATCTGCTTTGTTGCCTGGGAATGACTGCTATCTTCATATCCAAATATAGAATCTTCTCCTACCTCATAAGTTGGCCAGACTGTTGGTTCTAAGTCATCACTTTTGAAAGGCATAGTATATTTCTCCACATCCACTTCAGAAGGCACAGACAAATCACAGGGTGTCTGTTTCCACATATCTACACACTTGTCTGCTTTCAAAGTTTTGAGGTCACACTGCTCATCTTTTTTAGTTTCTTGTCTTTTTGTGAAAGAAGTCAGGGCTGTTAGCTCAGGAGGAAGTGTACAGGGAGACAAGTCCTGCTGCCGATTCAGAGAGGCTGTAGAAAATCTCTTCAAATTCCTTTTCATGGGAAGAGTGTTCATTTTTTGTCTGTTATAGAGCAGTCTGTTTTCAGTGCAAGCTACTGATACAGAAGGGTCTAAACACAGTGGTTCGGCTGTAGCTAAGATCAGTTGGCTCTCAAGCAAAAGTTTGTCCTCCTCAGTCCAGTTCTGGTTGTCACGGGCTATGGCCTCTACATCGCAGGCTAATGTCTGCATGGTAGGATGTAAGAGAATATGTCTGCTTTGGTAACTCGGAGGCTCCCCTTCACTGGACTGCCTGTAGTCCCGTATTTCCGTTATGACACACCCCTGATGAAAGACATTAACCGGAGACTTCTCCAGGATATCCATCATAACAGGAGGTAATTCTTGAGCATCTAAGTATTCTAGCAATTCCCTTTCTTCATAATGCAGTCGAATGCTCTCTATAAATGATCCATTTTCCCCCTTGAGCATGAGCGAATAGCCCTGCTTTCCAGGATATAGGTTGACCACCAAACAGGGCAACGATTCTCTCCTAAGGAGCTTCTCTAATAGGTTCACGTTGCTTCTTAATTCCTCTGCAACCTCAGGCTCTTTTTCACTTTCTTCTACATAAATGTCGTAAAGTTTTTCATAGAGAGACATCTCCCCACTTGATGAGTTTTTCCTTTTCGGAGGTCTTTGTTGGGCACTTGCAATGACAGATTCTGCAAGATCCAACGCTCTCTCTAGAGATTGTTCCATTGTAGTAAGAGAGCAGGGTCCTAAAAGAAGAGAAAATGGAAGTGTCCTGACGAACTTAGTGAAAATCGTCTTTAATATCAATGTGTAGGTCTACAAACCACCCCTCCCGAACTTCACAGTGGGACCACCAGCCTAACTTTAGTACACCAAGGAAGTGCTACACAAAATTCTTGTGAGTTTCTGAAAATATTTATATCTATAGGGGTTATGGCCTTTGTGCTAGTCCTGGCCTCACCTTTGCGTCCTCTCCTCAGGCGCAGCCGGAAGTCGTTAATGAGGGACACAGGGACTTCCGTCCGCCGATGTGCTCCTCAATAGCCTCTGCAATCTGCTGGCCTCCGTGGCGGCGATGGAGTGGCTATTGAACTGCACTTCCGGTTCTCCGGCCTGTGCTTCCTACTGGCGAGTTGGGCCAGACATCCGTGTTCAGTCCGTGCAGCTTTTCAAGGTGATCGCAAAAAACACTTTTTTTTTTTTAAGGAACTGATGCAGTGTCATTCCTTTTTTAATATGCAAATTCAAAGCTTTTATTTCAGCAAAGTTATCTAGAATTATTATCTTAGAATCTTTCTTCTGTTTCTTTGATTTGCTTTTTTCCCCTTTAAGGATTTCAGTTATAAGTACGTTGGATAATCTCTTCCTGCCTTTTCTATCATGTTCTTTCTAAAACTTTATTTCCTTCTTTCTTTTCTATCCTTTAGATCTTTTAGGGTATCCTTGATGACCCTTTGTTAATTGTGGTTATACCTCTTCTCTCTAGCGAACTCCATATTGCTCCCGTGACAAATTGCCATGAACTTGGTGGTTCATGCCATGAACACACCTGTTTTGTTTGTTTGTTTCCTCATAGTTCTGCAAGTCAGAACACAGAGCAGTCTCAGTTTCAGTTCAGTTCAGTCGTTCAGTCGTGTCCGACTCTGCGACCCCATGAATCGCAGCACGCCAGGCCTCCTTGTCCATCACCAACTCCCGGAGTTCACTCAAACTCATGTCCGTTGAGTCGGTGACGCCATCCAGCCATCTCATCCTCTGTCGTCCCCTTCTCCTCCTGCCCCCAATCTCTCCCAGCATCAGGGTCTTTTCCAATGAGTCAACTCTTCGCATGAGGTGGCCAAAGTATTGGAGTTTCAGCTTCAGCATCAGGGTCTCATAAGTCCAAAATCAAATTTGCCTGTGCTAGGCTCTTAACTGGAGGATCTGGGGAAGAAACCACCTGTAAGCTCATTCAAGTAGTTGGCCAAATTCAGATTCTTGTGGTTATAGGATTAAGATTAAGGTTCCTTTTTTTTTTTTTTTTTCTGATTTCTGTCAGGGGCCACTCCCAGCTCCTAAAAGTTGATCACATTCTTTGCAGGTGCCTTCCTCCATCCAGAAGCCGGTGATGACATATTGAATACTTTTTCTGCTTCATGCACCTCTGACTTCCTCTTCTGCCACCATCTGGCGAAAATTCTATGCTTTTAAGGGACCATGTGTATAATCCAGGGTAATACTCCCTGTTTTAAGTCATGGTGCCGTATAATGTACTATAATGACAGGAGTGTTAACTCATTATTTTCACATGTTCTGAGAATTCAAGTAGACCATCTTTCACTTGCCATTTTAGAAATTCTGCCTATCATAGGTACTTTGTAATTCAGTCTTTATTTATTCTGTTTCTACTAAGTTTGATTAGCTCCTGTTTCATACTTCATGTTGTTTGTTTTTTTGTCTTTAAAGTTTAAAAAAAAACATTTATGATTCCAATTCTGCAATGCTTATTTAAGTATACGATTCCTGTTGGAGTGTCAAGTTAAATTTTTCCTCAGCTTTGTGCAAATGTGGATGTGTATGTTTGCATATGTGTTCTTCAGTGGTTTTATCTGCTGAATTCTCATTGTTTACTTTTTTTTTCCTCCTGAACCAGCAATAGAAGACACTTTGAAGTGGGTAGGTTAGGGAATTGCATGGCTTATTTTGATTTTGTAATTTAAGGTCACCTTCTTTTTCTGTCATCATCATACATTGACTTTATTATTATTAATGTTGGTTGTTGTGGTGATATTTTTCAACAAATTGTACATTTTTTACAAGTCTGATTTCTTCTGATTCTTAGTCACAGTCTTCATTCATTCATTTGAGTCCTTTATCTTCTGTTAGTTCCTTTTTCCCCTCGGTCTTTGAAGGACATGTTTCCTCTTAAAGGTACCTTACTCTTCGTAAGAAGGGATGACCACCTCTGGTGCTATACTTTTTCTGTATTCCTTTCTTCCGATTTCCCAGTAACCAGCACTTTAATATACCTGTCTCAAATCATATCTCAGTGTTTCCCATCTCAGAGTTTGACCTCAGAAACCTCCTAAAAATTAATAAAAATAAGACCATTAATCCAGTAGAAAAAAAAATCAAGATGACAGTTCACAAAATAAGGGATACAAATGCTATTTAAGTATATGAAAAATATTCAACCTCACAATAAAATTGCAAGTTAAGACAAAAATAAATAAAAGACCATGTTTTTACCTATTAAATTACCAGAGATGAAAGCAATTCATAGCTTCCCATGTTAGTTAATGGTATGAGAAGACTGGCACTCTCAAACATTTTTGTTGAGGGTGTTAATTGGTCCAATTCCTGTGGATAACAAAGAACCTAGTAATAGGATTTGCCCTGAGGATTGGCTTCAGGGTATCTGGGGCTCATCCGTGGGGATTTTTTTCACCATTGGCATGTACTCATTAAAAATTGACTTTTCAATTTTTTAAAAAAAGTGCAGCATTTACCCCATTACTTTGTATACCACTAGCACATAAATATGATCCATCAGTGGGGGCAGCAATATTTCATCCTGAATATCACTCAGTAACGTTATAGTACTCAAGAGGAAATGAATAACATGGACAAAAGCCCAGGGAAATTCTGTATTTAAGGGGAAATGAGAGAATGAACCAAGACACAAAAGGAAAACTAGGAAAATAATAAAAACTTAAGATAAATAGACATAAATAAAATTAAATTGTAATATGCTCTAGCCAGATAACAGTTGAAAATCAGGTTACTGATCGTCCTAGTAACAGTATTTTCTGAGAAATATTGGGGAGAAAATTCAGACGATGGTAGGAAAAGAGATGAGCCTGGGTTGAGAAAGTGAGGAGAGTAGTTAACACTCCCACTGAAAGATTTTTATTAGTGAAGGGAAAGAGGTAAGTCATAGGAAGATATAGAGGACACACACATGCACATGAACATGCAATATCTCTTTGTAAAATCTCTCAGTATTGCACCAGTGGATCAAGTAAATATTACATGCATAATGATATTATCAATAATACTATTTTGGAATTTGGGGAAAGGATGTAAACCTTCTTGTAGACTTTTATTCAACAAAGGACAAACTAACATACCCAGAGCCACAATTCCAAGTAATAATTTGTTCATCTTGTGTGCTTTATACATTATTGACATAAAGTGAAGTGAAGTGAAGTTGCTCAGTTGTGTCTGACTCTTTGCGACCCCAGGGACTGTAGCCTACCAGGCTCCTGCATCCATGGGATTTTCCAGGCAAGAATCCTGGAGTGGGTTGCCATTTGCTTTATACTTTATTGACATAATAAATGGTAAATAAAAACTCCAGTAACTGCACAGTCAAATTATGCCACGATACTTTCTACAATTTGGATTCCAAATAAATCCATGTTAGTAACGAATACAAGAAGCCAAAAGTAATGTAATAGCTTTTGTAAATTAGTCACCAAGTTGGTCAATTACCATTGTATTTAATAGACTAGTGAACAGAAGGGTTTTGAGAGTGGGAATGATTACAATGCTGTTGCATAGATTGTAGCTTTGAGAAAGCACTCAAGGAAAAGATATCTGATTAATCATTATGATACTCTTCATGTATGTATGAGAAATTATTTGGGAAAACCCTGCATCCTGATAAGGCTGAATATAATGTGGTTGAATCCTTCCCTTCCATAAGAGTTCTCTCTCCCTTTGTTTTCTTGCTATTATCATAATGGACTTTTAAGGAAAAAAACTGATTTTGTGATTGGAAATCATGTATACAATAGAGCTATTTTTAGTAGTTTATAACAGTTGTTTCATTGTAAGAAGAACATGAGAAATAATCTTATAGTATTGATAGAAATGTATTTTGACAGCATACTGTTACATAGTCTCCATCTCTCCTCTGGCTTGGGATAAATGTTTTTCATATAACCCATACTGTTGAATACTGAATTTCAAAATGTCTGTTCTAAGTTGACATCTGCAAATATTCAACTATCCAGTTCTAGAATCTCCTTGGTGATTCATCCATCTAAAACCAGCAGAGCACAGCTAATAAGAAGCCCTCATTCATGGTGTTTTCTTCCTTCCTTCCTTTCTTTCTCTCCCTGCTGCTGCATCTAGGGTTGCCTTCCCATCAACGGCAGTTCTTTCTGGCAATGATATGAGATGAGTTTAACTGAGTTTCAAAATGCATGAGACTTCACTCCTGGAAAGGGTGTTCTGTTCATAATGAGCCTTTCTATAAAAATGAAAATTGGAATCTGAAGAACAGCAGTGGAAGATGGTTATATATGCAGTAGGATAAGGAGATTAAATATAAAGAACTATATGATTTATCTCTTTTACGAAGTGCTGCTGGAAAGGAGATTAAGCTTTTAAAAAGAGGAGACCTTGATATAAATTCCCTGTTTAACCAGTGGTGAAAATACTATGAATAATGAAGGGGATGTGGAACACCACTAGGCATACAGTGTGAAAATTCAAAGAGATACAGTAAGGTTGACAATCTAAGAGGTTAAACCTCCAGAGCAGAAAATGGTAACAGCAATAAGACATACTATGTAACGGTTTGCTCATTACAAAGTCTTTTTATATCAGGATGTTGTTTACTTCTCACAACAACTCTATGAGGTTAAGTATCCTCCCAATTTTATGATCAGTTAACTGAAGTTCAGGGAAGGACAAGTTATTTATCCATGATCACAACAGCTTGTTAGTGGATTCCTCTG